TCGTCTTCTTATGTTCCACTGCAATAGATCAATCGTGTCTTGGGTTCCTTCATCTTCTTATGTTCCACTGCAATAGATACAATCGTCTCTTGGTGATTCCTTCATCTTCTTATGTTCCACGCAATAGAATCAATCGTGTCTTGGTGTTCCTCATCTCTTATGTTCCACTGCAAGAGATCAATCGTGTCTTGGGTGTTCCTTCATCTTCTCATGTTCCACTGCGCTCTCTGCTGCCACCAGGTGGTGCTATGCACGGATTCTGGACTCAAGAGGAAGTTCCTGGAAAGCTGCGCTCAAGTACTACGACCTTCTGCCAGCTGGACCAGAGGAACTGGGCGGCATGTGAGTGCATTGTGGGCGGCAAGTGAGTGCATTGTGGGCGGCAAGTGAGTGCCTCGTGTGGCGGCAAGTGATGTGCCTTGGTGGCGGCAAGTGAGTGCTTTGTGGGCGACAAGTGAGTGGCTTGTGGCGACAAGGGGAGTGGCTTGTGGGCGGCAAAGGAGTGGTGGGTAGGAGTTAGTTGGCAACTTGTGTGCTGAGTGCTGTGCTGGTGGGTAGGGTTGAGCAATGGCACGGGAGGGTTCAGGCCCGGGCGGGGCCGGGCCAGGCTGCCCCCAAAAGGGGCCGAACCCTGCCAGGCCCGCCCCGGGCGGAAGGAGCGAGACCTCTGCCTGGGTTCGCCCCAGGGGGTGTCCGGGCCAGAAGGCCCCGGCCGGGCTGAGTATGGCCCCGCCCTGGGGCCCTGACTGTAAACCCTAAAACATAACTTACTTTGAAATGCAATGAAAAAAACTGTAATGAGGATGAGTTGACCCGCGTTACCGCCTAGAGTACCGTGCTGTTTCTGTACAAAGACAGAACCGCCCCGCCTATAAACGAAATGTCTAGGCGGGCGGTTCTGTCTTTGCAACGCTAAAAGGGAAGGTAAGGGACCTATCGGCAAGGTTTTAAGTACCCAAGGCGTCACGCACTATAACTTTGCATAGATTCTTACAGTAAGCTAGGAAAAAACAACAGCCAGGTGCGAGAAGAGTGGCGAGAATGTACATGTGAGGTGAGGTGCTGGAAGTTGGAGGTCGCAAATGAACTCCAATAAATTGTGGTGCAGCTCATAAGAACCCACTTCGTGCGACAACTGTCGTTGGGGTCAAAAGCGGGCCAGAAAGGCCAGCCCCGGACCGCACTTCGAGGCGGGCCGGCCCGGCCCGGCGCTAACCCGTGGGCCAATAGCGAGGTGCAGCAAGTTCCGCGGCAGGGAAGGTTTGGCTCGCCCCGGGCCGTCAGCCCAAGGTTCGGCCCGGGGCACATTCGGGCTGGCCCGACCCGGGCCGAACCAGGTTCGCCCAGATGCTCCAACCCTATTGGTGGTCAACAAGTGAGTTTGTTTGTTTGAAGTGACACAACGTGGGGATGTTTCTGTGTATGTGTGCGGAGAAAGCGGTGGGGAAAGAGAACTTGGAAATGAGGAAGGTGAACCTGCCAACTTTACACTGCAACCCACCTTTCACACTTGGTTCGTTCCTTGCCTTGGCTGTCTTTTCAAATCCTCGTTCATAGTTGATGTGTGATGATGCTGATGCACGCGTGCACACATGTGCTCATGTGCACACGTTTGTCCTGCACAACTCGTTCTGAACGCACACGCATGGACCGGCTTAATTTGTCGATGCATGCACATGTGCTGCGCGAGCACCCGTGCAGGCAGGTGGATGAGGAGGAGTTGGAGGCGGTGCTGAACGCCGCTGTCACCTGCACCATCCTCGCTGCTGCGGCCCCAGCGCTCCCGCATGCTCGCCACCCTCTATAAGGTGCCACTCCCTCTCTCTCAGGTGCAAATTACTATCTATTGATTGTCTTGGCTTGAGCTGACTCGTTGGTATCGGAATGCATGCTGTAATGTATGGGACTTAGGCTTTCGACACTAATGTCGAGTTCGTCAATTGGATTGGCGTGCTTTAGTGTGTGTGGGGTCTGTGTATGTGTGTGTGCGTGCGTGCGTGCGTGCGTGCGTGTGTGTGTGTGTATGTATGTGCGTGTGTGTGGTGTGTTGTCTGTCTGTATGTATGCGTGTATGGTGCTACTGCTCCACCCATCAGGATGAGCGCTGCAGCAAGCTGAAGATCTACCCCATTCTGCAGAAAGTATGTCTCGCCCCTTGCTGCTCTCGATCTGTGCCTCCTTGCTCCCTCACCTCTTGCTCTCTTTTGCTCTCTCCCTTGCTCTCATGCCCTACCATTATCCTAGCAACACATCCATCACCTGTATCTCCATTTCCCTTGTGTCTCTGCACTGGACCCTGCTGTCACTAGCCCTTGAAGTTCTGCTTCCCTTTTTTTTTTCCTCCATCTCACCTGTTCTCTGCCTTCCTTTCCACCTCCTCTTGCCTCTCAACACTGCTCTCCACCGCTCTCCACCCAGGTGTATCTGGAGCGCATCCTGCGCTCACCAGAGGTGGAGGCATTCGCCAAGGAGCTCAAGCCACATCAAGTTTGTATACATACACATCAATACGATTATACATAAAATAATTATATGTGCACTGCTCAACCCGCACAGTAAGCTCAAGCCCATCAGGGTGAGTTGCTGGGCTGCACACTTTCGGTTTCAAAGGCCGATTTCTTAGCTGTGCAGCATCCACACTCCTCTCAATCCATTCGAACTCTTTCCAGCTGAAATCTATGCGACTCACCCGCTTACCCCCCAGCATTCCTCCGAACCAACTCTTCCTTCTCTCTCTCTGGCCACTATCCACCTGCACGCATGTGCTGACACCTATCCCATCTGACTCCCTGTGGTGCAGAAAGCGGTGTTGCCGGGCGGGTCAACGGTGCTGGACCGGGCAGTGATAGAGCACAACCTGCTCAGCGCCAGCAAGCTGTACACCAACATCAGGTAGGCAGCAAGCTGTACACCAACATCAGGTAGGCAGCAAGCCGTACAGCAACATCAGGTAGGCAGCAAGCTGTACAGCAACATGAGGTGATCAGTCTATGTCCCTGCTTGCTGCACACTCGCCTACCTCATTTGTGCGTTAGCTCATGTGGGTGGTGTGGCGCAATAGTGTGCGCTGTGTGGCATGGCATGGCATGGCGGATGGTTGAAGCGCAGCGTGTCATGTGAATGAAGGCCGTGACTGATTGGCCTTTGGTAGCGGGCTGAGCTTGGAGAGTGCTGTGACTAGGTTTCTGCCGTACTGCAGCTAAGTAGCGCCTGCTGCACTGCCTTGCCGTAGGGTAGATTCCCACATGAAATCGGACTGCCAATGCGGATATGTATCCTCTTTTGCCCCCATCCCTCCTCTGGCCTTTACCCCCCTCCACTCTCTCCCTAACCTACTCCACTCCCCTCCCACCTCTCCCTATCCATCACTTGCGCAGCTTTGAAGAGCTGGGTGCTCTGTTGGGCATTGCACCTCACACGGTGGGTGTGAGGGAAGTAGGGGTGTGGGGGGGATTGTGTGCTGCTGGGTGGCTTGCTGTGGGTGATGTCAAGGCCACCACACGTCATGCACCATACACCATGCATTCTACACCATGCATCTTGCACCATGCATCTTGCACCATGCATCTTGCACCATGCATCATACAACTGACGAACGCTGCACTGTGCTCCATGCATGTGAGTTTTCATCTCCGCGCTGCAGTGTCACAGAGCAACATGCTCTGCAGTGTCACAGAGCAACATGGTCTGCCTACACCGTTGAGTTTCTCTGCACTACACTTGGTGCTCCCCTTTCTGCGCTCAAATCCCGTCATGCCTGCAACCATCCACTCCAGTCATAAGCTATCCAATCATTCCCACCCCTGTACACTCAACACACCGTCTTCCACCCTCCTCCTCCTATATCCCGACCCACCTGTGGTGTGGTGTGTGGCAGGCGGAGAAGGTGGCGGCGCGCATGATATCGGAGGACAGGATGAAGGGCAGCATCGACCAGGTGAGGCACAAACGCAGAGGTGAGGCAGCATCGTGCGGGTAGTTTTTTCAGAGTGCATGCAAGGTTACGAATGGTGCTAAAGGTTGCTGTGAGACACTTAAGCCTAGGGGAGCCTTTCAAGTGAGCACACTCGTTGACGAAAAGTGTCACTCAATCATCTACAGTATTACTCAGCCTTGCACTTGCTACTCTTCCATCCCTCTCCCTTCCTCTCCCCCCCTCTCCCGCCCCAACTCTTTGCCTCCCTCTCTCCCTCCCGTCCTGAAGTGCTCGCCATAAGGTGGCAGCAGCAATTTGCAAAGATTTCCGCCCTTCACTCCCCGCTCTCCCTTCCACCCCTCTCTCTATTCTCTCCCGGCCATCCCTCACCCGTCGCTCCTGGTGCCCCTCTCAACCCGCGCCCACGCCAGGTGGAGGCGGTGATTCACTTCGACAAGGACACGGACGACCTGCAGCAGTGGGACCAGCAGGTACACACAATCATATCTGCATCAGATTAGCTCTCATTGCTTCACGGCTGCCCTGTGTGCAATGTCTCACTCCCGCCCTGTGTGCAATGTCTCATGCTGCAGATCGCTAGTCTGTGCCATGCGCTCAATGACATTCTTGATGGAGTGGTCAACAAGGGCGCCATGGCTGTCACAGTTTGAATCAATGCTCTCAGAGCGTGTTCCTACACCTCGTATCAGACACACCTCGTATCAGACACACCTCGTATCAGCTTCGCGTGGTTAAATACGTTTCAGTGCGGTTGGATGTGTTTTAGCGGTTCGACGCGAATCTGATACTAAGAGGTTTCCTGAAAAGAGGCTGTAGGAACACGCTCTCATTATGATCACCAGCAGCTCTCATCTATCAGGCATTTCCGTCAGTAAATGAACACATTTGCGAGATGTTCACACGTGATCCATCCATGCTTATTACAAGCTCCGTTTTGTCAAAATGTTATACTGCTTATATTGTGTAGGTTATAGTGGGGTAGCCATAAGGGGTACAACCCAATTAGGGTTAGTACGGTACTTGTACCAACTTTCTGTTCGATGCATTCATTCTCGTTCAGTATTTTGACATCGTTTCAGAGTAGGTCCTGTTCCATGACCGTTTTTTTAGGGCCCACCGCATAGTTCCCTGCTCGTAGCGCTGCTCCACTAGTCGCGCTGCCCTGCCCTGTCAAATTATATGCCTATGTCATAATAGAATGTAGGCTTTAGTGGGGTAGCTAATGTAGGGTATAGTTTTTGTTACTTGTACCCAACTTTCTCGATAGTGCACCAACTTTTCCCTTTACTCTCGACAGGCCCTGCCCGTCGCGCCGCCCTGCAGGCAGAGCGCCAGGGCCTCAGATTCGTTTTGGCTTAGGCTGAATCATCAGCCTTTGGAGTGTGTTGAAGGCTGATCAATCAGTGTTGCCTTGAAAAAAAAAACCGGAAGTTCAGTGTGTCCTTAAAGAAAAAAGCTAATCAACCAGCCTCACTACAGAAAAAAGGCTGAACGTTTCATACGGGCCAACACACGCTAGCGACAACAATGCGTGCGACGAGCCGGAAAGATGCCATTTCCCTGTGCGTTGGCTTGGTGGGGAATCTGGCAAATTTGGCGCAAATTCGGCGAGAATGACGAATCTGCACTACTGGGATTTCAGCCCACACCCCCGTTACAACGCTGATCAGTCAGTGTACACCCTTGAAAAAATGCTGAAATATCAGCCTATACAAAGAAAAATAAGCTGAAAAATCAGCACGTGCACTAAAACAAAAGGCTGACAAATCAGCCCCACTAAATCCCCAGCACTGAAAACGTAACCTCTTTACCCCTAATCAGCCTTTTTTTGCTGACTTCTGAGGCCCTGCAGAGCGCTGCCCTGCCCTGCCCGTCGTGCCGCCCTGCCAGTCGCGCGCCGCCTTGCCCTGCCTGTCGCGCCGCCAAGCTGGCCGCGCGCTGCCCTGCCCTGCCCGTCGCGCCGCCCTGCTGGTAGCGCGCCGCCCTCCCCTGCCTGTCGCGTCGCCCTGCTGGCCGCCGCATCGCCCTGCCCTGCCCGCGCGCCGCCCTGCTAGCCGCCGCGCCGCCCTGCTCTGCCTGCGCGTCGCCCTGCCCTGCCCGCGCACCGCACTGCTGGCCGCAGCGCCGCCCTGCCCTGCCCGCGCGTCGCTCTGCTGGCCGCCGCACCGCCCTGCCCTGCCCGCGCGCCGCTCTGCTGGCCGCTGCCCTGCCCTGCCATTCTACCGAGCGATTCTAGAGACAGCGTTTCGTTGTTTGACCATACGTCTGGAGCCTCTCTCGCCCCTCCCACCACAGCTGGCAGCGCGACTCGCTCACAATGGCTTACCCGTGACGCTACTTGCTCGCTTAGCTGTTCGCAACCACAAGACTGCTAAAGCCCTGTACGACACAGTCGCCCGTTACTCTTCCCCCGCCACTGCTGCTCTCGGCCGCCTTATACTGCCCTACCTTTTTCCCGAGCTGTCAGCCTTTGCCACAATCGAGGACCTCATTACCCACCTTCGCACTAGCGACACTCGCTACCGCGCTGCCCTCCCAGCCGAGTTCCTAGACAAGAACCCGCCCCCGATGTACATCACTCTCTACTTCATAGTCACCCGCCTCCCTGACTCTCTTTGTGCAGTCAGGGACAACTTTCTCGCACTTGACCCCACAGACCTCACTGTCGACCTGCTCAAGAAGCACCTCCTTGCAGCTGAGACTACCATGGTCGCTGTAGGTGCTGCTCGTGGCACTTCTCGCACACCCTTCTTTGAGGGGTGTTCCCCCTCCCCCCTTGCCCCCTCCTACGCCCCTGCTGCTGCTGTTGACATCCTTGGTACAGAGGACGTCGGGGCTGCTTCTGCTCTTAGTGGGAAGCGCCGCAGCGGCAAGGGCAAGGGTGGCAAGAGTGGTGGCGGTGGCAGCGGGGGTGGTGGTGGTGGAGGCGGTGGAGGCGGTGGAGGTGGCAGAGGTGGCGGTGGGAGTGGTGGCAGGAGTGAGGGCTTCGCTGGCGGCGGTGGTGCCAGTGGTGGGAGTGGTGGTGGCGGTGGTGGCGGCAGTGGGAGTGGTGGAGGCGGCAGTGGTGGAGGTCGGGGTGGAGCTGCTCAGAGGGGAGGTTCTGGCGGTGGCCAGAGGCAGCAGCAGCAGCAGCGTTGGAGCGAGACCCCTACGCCCTAGCAGCTTCGTGAGTGGTTTGCTCAGCGTGGGGCGCCTGGGGGTAGTGTTCGCTGCCCGTATGTCATTCGCACAGGTGACCACGCTGGTCAGACATGCGGGAAGTTTCACACACAGCACCGCTACTTCTCCCTCCTTGACGACACTTGGCGCGCAGAGTTTGGCGACGAGGCTGAGCGCCCCCGCTGGGCAGAGCTGCTTAGGTCTGGTGTTGATATCTTTGCTCTTGACTATGATGCTATCCTTGCTGCCATGTATGCCTTGACTGTTAGTGCTGAGGGTGACTGTTACCTGTGTGTGCCGCCCGACCCAGGTATAGAGGCTGCTGCTCTAGGTGCTAGTGAGTCTGCTCTCCCTGGTACTGCGCCTTCTGAGGCCTTGCACACCTTCACACTTGACTCAGGTGCTTCCCACTGTTTCTTCCACGACAGTATCACACTCACTCCACTCCCTGCACCTGTTCCGCTCAGAATGGCTGACCCCTCAAAGGGCCCAGTTCTTGCACGTTCCTCCACTGTTCTCCCGTGTACGGTGGTTCCGTCAGGCACACTCTCAGGTCTTCACCTCCCCTCGTTCTCTACGAACTTGGTGAGTACCGCTGCCCTCCAGGATGCGATGGTCACTACCACCACTCCTGGGGGTCAGCGTGTGTCGATTTGCACGTGTACACGGACGGGTCGTCACCTGGCCACGATCACCCATCGGCCTGGGTCGAGTCTGTACACACTGACTACTGAGCCTCCTCAGGTACCTGCGTCTGGTCAGGTGTCCGCGTCAGGTCCGGTAGCAGCCCCCTGCTCGTGTTGCCTCCTTTCGCACCAGACTCTCCTTTGGCACCACCGCCTTGGTCACCCCTCCCTGCCATGCCTTCGTGGCATGCACTCCCGCCTCCTTGTCTCTGGTCTTCCCAGGTCTCTGCCTCCCCTCCCGCCCTCCCCTGCCCCGCCGTGCCTTCCTTGCATTGAGGGGCGGCAGCACACCGCTCCTCACTCCTCCTCGTTTCCCCCGACGACTGCTCCCCTGCAGACTCTCCACATGGACGTGTGGGGCCCAGCCCGCGTCAGTGGACAGGACCGCGAGCGCTACTTCCTGCTGGTTGTTGTCGACTACACGCGTTACACCACGGTCTTCCTCTTGCGCAGCAAGGGTGAGGTCCATGATGTCTTGATCCCTTGGATCCGCGCAGTCCGTCTCCAGCTCCGTGAGCAGTTTCGTGAGGACCTTCCTGTACTGCGTCTGCACTCTGACAGAGGTGGTGAGTTCTCCTCCGACCTCTTGCAGGACTTTTATCGTGGGGAGGGCCTCCTTCGGTCGTTCACGCTTCCGGCCTCCCCGCTGCAAAATGGGATTGCTGAGCGCCACATTGGCTTAGTCATGGAGGTGGCTCGTACCTCCATGATCCATGCGACTGCTCCCCATTTTCTGTGGCTGTTTGCGGTCCGGTACGCTGCGCATCAGCTCAACCTCTGGCCCCGTGTCTCCTTGCCGGAGACCTCGCCTACAATGCGTTGGACGGGGAAGGTTGGCGATGCGTCGGTGTTCCGGGTCTGGGGCTCTCGTGTCTTTGTCCGCGATACTTCCGCGAACAAGCTCTCCTCCCGCGCCATTCCCTGTGTCTTCCTTGGCTTTCCCCCTGACGCGCCTGGCTGGCAGTTTTACAACCCCACCTCGTGTCGTCTCCTGCCCTCTGAGGACGTCACGTTTAACGAGTCGGTTCCCTTTTATCGTCTCTTCCCCTACCGCACTGCCCCTCTCCCCCCCCGCCGCTCTTCCTCGCTCCAGGTCCCCCTCCGGTAGACCCCCTCCCCCCTCAGGGTCCTGCTCCCTCAGGTGTGTCTCAGGTAGACCCACTTCCCTGGCTGAGCCTATCGAGGTCACTGTAGACTCAGGTGCTGCTAGGGGTGCTGCGTCTGGGGGTGCTGAGCCTTCGAGTGCGGAGCCTGGGGGTGCTGAGTGTGCGAGTGCGGAGCCTGGGGGTGCTGAGCCTGAGGGTGCGGAGCCTGGGGGTACTGAGTCTGAGGGTGCGGAGTCTAGGGGTGCTGAGCCGGAGGGTGCAAAGCCTGGGGGCGCTGAGCGTGAGGGTGCGGAGCCTAGGGGTGCTCAGTTTGAGGGTGCGGAGTCTGGGGGTGCTGAGTTTGAGGGTGCGGAGTCTGCGGGTGCTGAGCCCAGGGGTACTGCGTCTGCCGGAGATCCTGCGGGTGCCTCGCCACGACTGTCTCACCGGCGGGAGCCTCTCTCACCGCAGCAGCTGAGCGAGTGGTTTGCTCAGCGCACACGCCTTAGGAGTGGCACTGCAGGAGCTGGAGGCCCTATTGATGGAGGCAGTGGAGCTGGAGGTGCTGGA